CCCTAAACCCTACACGCTAAACCCTGAACCCAACACCATCCTAAACCCTAAACCCAACACCATCCTAAACCCTAAACCCTGCTGTTGATGACCTTCCAGCTAGGCACTCGGTCACTTTGGGTGTGCCCTGAGGATGATAGACTACATAAAATTTGGGGTTTGAATGATTTGTAATATTTTATCCCCTATGACCCTAGACAGCTAGACTTCAACATGGACTATTTTATGGCCCAGAAGCTTAATCTTAGTCTAGGCTTATACGCCGGATACGTTAATTACAGGGTTATTGGGGGGCCATCTGCGTCCTCACACACCCTTTAACGCTACCTAGAGGGTCAAACCCTACCTCGCTTTATAGGGTACCTATATAGTTTAATTCGGGGGTAGGGTATGACGTTAAACCGTAAAATTTGAACCCTAAACCCTAACAATGATATCCGAAATTCAGAAGATGTGGGATTTGCAAACAGGAACCCGCCCCTTTACAGACACCCCGCACAGCAGCCTGATTCAAACTCTCGCTGCTTCGGGTTTTGGGATAGGGCTTTGGAGGGTTTAGGATGTAGGGTCTCAGAGAGGGAATCCAGGTAGGCCCCCTCGTTCTGTCCTGTGATCCTAACCCGCCAGCCCGTATAAGAACAGCAACGCAAAACATGCGCGTTGTTGTATAACACAGTCTCGTCCTCACATTGGATATAAGACCCTGTAGGCGGAATAGAAGCCTGAAAGCAAGCTCTCCTGATACCCAAAACCAAACAACGCAAAAACAAAACAACTAAAAGCAATCAACAAACAACATCAACAAAAAACCAACAAAACAAATCTAGGCACTGTGACTAGTCACCTGGAAAGTTGCTTTCATTTTTTTTTTTTTTTTTTTTTCCCTTCGCTGCAGGTCCTGCGCTCAGCGTTGCCAGAGCCCATTTACTCCTTGCCCGCAAATATTGTAGGTTAACGCTCCCGGTCGTTGGTCGTGGTAGGGTGCTGCTACGACTGCAGCCAGTGCAAGAGCCTTCCACTAGCTCCACTACCCTGACGAAGCCACCGAATGTTAAAGACTTGCTCCGTGATATTCCAGGGATAATATCGCGGTGTGTGTTCTGCAAATGCAGATTAGCAACATACAGCGGCAGCTCCGTGTTGAGACTTCTGCGACGGGTGGTTGGTCTGCAGAAGCTACGGCGACGTCAAACAACTGGGTGGCAAAGCCGCGACGTAACACAGCTGCACTCATGAGCCGGTCAAAGTCCAGCACAGGCGTAAGCGTGCACGCGCAAGGTCTCCTGTTGAGCTGCATGAAGGTGTTGTAGAACTGGAGGCCGTCATAGGCAGAATGTAAGACGTAGAAGAGGAGTGCTCTGTTCAGCCATGAAGTGCAGCGACTCAAAGGTATTCTTGAATTGCGGAAGTTAGGGCACCTGGTGTAGTAGTATGCCAGCATCTTTGTACGTGTTTCACCAAGGGAGCGAGTTCCATGACACTGAAAAACAGCCAAGAGGGGGCCTACCGGATTTCGTTTCGGATTTAGGGTTTAGGATTTAAGGTTTAAAGTTCACGGCTTAGGGTTTAAGGGCTCCTTGTTATTGCATTGCAGGACGCAGCACCTGTGACCTACCGCATCAGCACATTCGATGGGACTGCCGCTTGACTGGACTTCAGGCGCTTCGCACATGCCGCCCGAAAAATCATGCCCGGAGTTGAAGTTAAATCCCAAAACTTCGCGTGAGATGTCAATGAACCTTTGAACCTCCCGAATCCCTCAATGCCTAAACCCCAAACACAAATTTGTCACCCTAAGTCACCAGCAACTCGAAATTTTAGGATTTTTCATCGAAAAAGCCGTAACTTTGAACCCTTAGTCCTACACAAGAAAAGCTCTGTGAGGGTTTAGGGCTGCTAATCATTGTTTGTTGGAATCTCGAGGTTTCCTCAGTAACAGCTTTTCAGTAAGATATACTGCAAATCCCGATTCGCAGTAATCGAAACTGCCAATCTTTGCTTTTGCAGGAATAAACAAAAATCTGCATGCAAAACCTACACGAGCTGCACGTTCGGAAGCCTAAACTCCAGAACTTCCAAGTCCCAGTCCCCAAACCCGAACCTTCATCCGTAACAACAACAACAACAACAACACCAACACCAACAGCAACAGCAACAACAACAACAGCAACAACAACAACGCCAACCCACCACATAGCCATGGCCGAGGAGACAGAGATCGTACTGGGATCCGCTGCCACTCGGTAGCTGAATGGGTACTACACTTTCCGGGATAGTATCCCAAATAAACTTGAAGGTTAACGCGGATTGGGATAGTAGTGACCTCTATACAACTGAAAGTATGCACTTTGGGGGGGATGAACTCGCAACCAAGGCCAGCATCCTTGATGCGTGCACTGCCGCGGCTGCCTGGAAGGGCTTGCCACGAATGTCGGTCAGGTTCCTAAACCTAAACCTTAAACCTCAAACCCTCAACCTTAAACCCTAAACCCAGTGGGGCACTCCTTACGCTTACTCATCATGCCCTAAAGCCTCAAATCCTTGGGGCTGGGTGTAAGGTTTTGGGGTCGGTAGGGCCTCATATTCAGGGATTTTCTTAAGCTGTTTGATCCTTATTGTAGTAACTTAAATTAAACCCCTTAACGATAACCCAGTATTCAGGGATCTAGGACAGGGCTTGTATGACGTAGAGTTTTGTTAGAGTTCAAGATGCGAGGTTTGGGGTTTGATTTCTGGGGTTTAGGGTTTAGCCCAAAACTAGTTCAACAGTTCTCACATCCCAGCAGCAATGCCACCAAAGCCTTTTTAGTTCGTGAAACCGACGCGACTCCTGAAACCTAAATCACATACCTTCTTAAGCCCCCAAATCCTGTAACCTCTATATTCCTAAACACCATTACCCCTCTTTTTGCCTTCATTCCTACGTTCTATAGCCCGTAAATCCTGGATCGCAGCCGGAGTCTTGACGACTACTGAGTGAGGCTTTTGTTATCTAAGTGTCGGAGTCTGAGTGCGCACCCAACTTGGGTTCGGGTCTGCATGCAGAGCGATAGGTCCCACTACACCCAAAACAAACCCTCAACTTTAAACCCTACTGTTGATGAAAGAACTCCTGCATGACCTTAAGGACCCGAAACTATGGGGTTGATGGTATGTTCTTGTACTTATGGGCAACGCAGGATTTATACCATCAACCGTACTACCCCTTTGCCTGCCCTCCAGGCTGGTTGTTCAAGGCCAAGTGGAGCCGCTCCCTCAATCCCGCACGACAAAACTCCTTGATGCTGCAGGAGAAGTCGTGGGTTCAGGGTGGTGGCAAAAGGTTGAAGGTTCTGTGGAAGGTTGCTGTAGGGTGTTGCATTGTAGGATTTGGGGTTTAGGGTTCGCTTTAGTGTAAAGTTGAGGGTAAAGGAGTTTAGGTTGCAAGGTCAGGATGTTGTTGATCTGATGTTCAGGTTCCGGTTTCGTAGCCAGCATCACCGCCATCGCAGTTTTCGAATTCGCGCAAGTAGCAACCAGAACAGTTGTAGTGATAGAACCAATGTAAGCATCACCAGCCGTGTCATTGACCATCCAAAGCCAGCCTGGACGAATCACCGAAATAAAACATCCACTACCTACTCACCCTCTTCCGAAGGCCAAGGTGCGCGACACACCACATCATGACAGCTAGAAAAGCCTGCCGAAGCATTCGGGTCACCAGGGAAGCCGTGATCCCAAGGGCCTAAACCCTAGACCCTAAACCAACCGAAGCGGAGCCGGAATCCGAAGGCCCGTCAGCTCATTACACTCTGGGTGCTCAACAGAAGAGCCTAAACCCGAAGGGCCTAAACCCCAAAAGAGCCTAAAGCCCTAAACTCTAAACCCTAGCCTAAACCCTAAACTCTAAACCCTAAGCCTTACCCTAAACACTAAACCCCTAAACCTCATAGCAATTATAACAGTACATTATGTTAGGGTGCGTTGGAGGAGGGTTTCTGGGTTTCTTTATGGGTTCGGTTAGTGGCCTAGAGGAGCTGCCGAGGCAGCAGGCACATTCGAACTGAGTCGCCGGA